GCGCGAGCACTTCTCCCCCATCACGCTGTCGATTTATGTTCGATTCCATATTTCGGCTGGCATTGATCTAAATGTAAGGGGGAGACCTTGAGGCTTGAAGCCATACGTCGCAGCAATTGGCCAGCGGTAGGCCATGGGTAATGACATCGTTCAGAATCTTCCGTTATCTACTTTCCAAAACTCAATTATGTTTGACAGTTGGCTTGCGTTACTAGCCTGTAAACTGTTTAATCGGAGTAGCTCATACATTTTTAAAATATTTGCATCACAACCTGTAGAAGAAAATTATGTATTGGTTTAGATAAGATAACACAAAGTCTAAACCGCTGATTGGTACGACTTCTGAACGTGGAGTGGGGTGAGGGCGGGGTTAGGAGTGGTGAAGATAATCACGGTGTTTTTCGAGTGACCAAAATAATCCAGCGGTGAATTCCTGCACCTTTGAAGGTCCTGTTTGTTAGGAAATGGTATTGGAAACCAGGTTACAGGACCAGCCAGGTCCCTGTACATCCCATCCAACGGTGGCGTTGCTAGTAAACACAATCTAAAACGTCATGATCGTTTTTGGAAGTGGGCATCATCGAGTTTCATTTTTCGGAACAGGAAAACAGCATGTCAGGTTTACTCTCTAAAATGCAGTGAAAATTATATGCCAATTTCATGCAACACAATCTGACCTTGGCCAAAGAGGAATGCTTTTCGAAGTTGACAAAACAATGGACACCTTTGTCTGTATTGTCTGTATTGACTTCTCAGATAACAACAAAGGAATAACAAGGCTATGGCTGTTTCATAACCATGCTTAGGATAGAACATGCGTACAACTGAAAAAGTAATGCGCCACGGGCCTTCTTTTCGCTGGAAACAAACTGTACTTTGGCCAGATGATACTAGGGTCCAAATTTTGGCATTTTAATCAACTTTGTCCCCCTTGAATGCTGAAAATATTAAGTCAACCATTCCAGTGCGCGGGATGCACTGCGCAATCCATGTACCCTGCTCTGCTGTGCAAGGTTTCTTGCTGGGTCCATCCATGACACGGACTTGTGCCCAGCTGGTACACGGCGCGTCTGCCACATGGGGTCAGGCAGAGCCTCATCTGGAGCCCAGCACCTGCCCAGGCCACACCGATTCCCTGATATTTTACCAACATGTGCCCAGCTGGTGCCCAGCTGGGCCGCGAGCAGACGGCCCAGCTAGGGCCAGGCCACGGTCCATCAAACAAATGTTGCAGGCGCCATGTGGGGCCGTGCTGGGTATGCTGTTACAGCCCACCCACTCTGCACGTCTGGGGCCCAGACGCGGTCACGGTAAAATGCTGACTAGGCCTGCGTGGACGAGCTCGTTGAGCATCGAGCATGCGCACACAAGTATAACTGCGTGGTTACTGAGCAGCCAGCACAACTAGCAACGCTGTTGCTGCCGGGAGTTTCGTCTGTCACATGTTCGAACTTAAGTGGGTGAGGGTCGTTTTCCCTTCATAGGCACAACAGAGTGGAACAAGTGTTGTCCAGCAGCAAAGCTTCCCCGCATTGCGTGTGTTTTGAAACGAGCGGGGAATGGACATTCTCAACAGGAGGACATCTGCCAGACCGTGTTTGGGGAAAGGCTGAGGACCATGTTCCTCACTGATGCGTGGAGGATGGCAAAGTCTTGTTGGACGTTAGCTGAAATGCAGATGTTTTATCGAAAAATGTATGGTAGGTTGATATTTAGAACGTGCGTGTCGACGGTTTGCGATAAACAATTATGTTCTGGACACTTTATTTTGTTAATGCATTCATAAACATACAACAAATCACCAAAATTCATCTGGTAAATTATAAGCAGATTTCGCTTTTCACTGCGCTGGAAAGATGCATATGCACCCCTTCAGCTTCACAAAACAGAAGCGTTTATAAGAAACTACTTGAAACTGTCAGGTGTCCACACGCAAATGGCAGAAATGAATTAAAACAGCAGGTGGTAAACGTAGATTAATCACAAACACACACACACACACACACACACACACACACACACACACACACACACACACACACACACACACACACACACACACACACACACACACACACACACACACACACACACACACACACACACACACACACACACACACACACACACATATATATATATATATATATATATATATATATATATATATATATATATATATGTATGTATGAATAACTAAACCAGAAATTGACGAAATCCGAGAGAAGTATTTAGTACTGGTCCACCAATCATTTTGAGAAATTTACACCCATGATAGAAAATGAGGTTTTCTTGAACCTTTGGAATGCACAATAACGCTCGCGCCGTGATGGAACTCTGGAGAGCAAGGTTTCAAAGTTGAACAATCGCTGATTCTGTCTAAGAAAGCAGAGCGTGAGCTCATTACAGAAAAATATCAACTGATGCTCCGGGACAATTCACTTTGACTGCTTTGCTCTGCCTCATCAACTTTGACACACGAATAGGTGGCGTGAGATCGGCAAGCGCTTTGGCAACGTTTATCTCACCTTCGAATTGACGTTATCCCCATGTATCAATGATAGCTTCATGATACAGCTAACATCATGCTCTTCAGGCATTTGGAACAGCCCCTCCCCCCCCTCCCAGCACACAGATGCGTATGAAGAGGGCAAGCGAGGAGTTGACTGTCACCAGCCGACTTCCGTCAAGGTTGCATGCGACTCAACCCCAACAGCTGTATGCCACTTTATCTGAATATTAACATCATAGATAACGAGTCTCTGCGGTGAAAAGCACCTCCGTCTGTAGTGATTTCAAAAGTGAGCATTAAGTTAAGCTTCGAGCTATAATTCAAGGCAGTTTCGATTGCCCGCTAGAATTGATCAGAACTGATTTGTTCAAGTCAGTCTTAATCTTGTTGAACAACACCTGCTGAGCGTGTGGACGCATACATCAGGATGCTACTGGGCGTCTCCCAGTAACTATAGCAGGCAAGTGAGGATTGTCATTGCCGTGCGCTGATGGCCGGTTGGGTGCCAGTATAAAAAACACGGCAAAACCCGGGCCCGTCAATCGCTCCCACCGGCTGACAACGGTCCAGGCGATCCCTGCACAGCACTGCATACCAGGACAGGGGATTTAAGTGGTACACTAAAGCCATTGGTTACCTCTGTACAGCAAGTGTTCAACCCCGTGTCGTTTAGAATAACAGCGCGCCCCAAGCTTATCAGTGTTTCACGTCAATGTCCGGATGGCCTTACTTAAATAAGTTTGCTTAATAAGTCTTCAAAGTATCTTAATAAGCCTTACTTAAATAAGACAACCAGGTTTGCACAAAAGCGCGTCCTAAGCTCATTAGTGTTGCATGTCAATATCCGGATGACCTTACTTAAATAAAGTAGGTAATCAGGTCTCTTCAATTATTGTCAGTTATGAGTTATCGTCGGTTAGAAGTTGTCATTTATATTCAGTTTCGGTTGCTATAATATTTCAGTTGGCGACCAGTTTGCCAGGCCTGTCTAGACATGGCGTTGCTGGGAGAATCAAGTATAGTACAAATATTCATATTAAATCAATTAAGATGTATCTGAAGTTAAATCTACCACAGGCAAACGAACCACTGTTGACACATTTCGTAAACACGGCGTTCTTTCGACTTAATTTGCTTGTGATTTTTTTCCCGGTGCACGTACCACGAATGTCCAGCCAGATACATTTACATACATTGTAATGCACCCTATACCCTGTAATCACCCACTTTCTCAAGATTCGTTATTTTTGCAATGATGAAAGCGGTTGCTAATCTTGACAGGCCCTGTCAAAATTTTGGTTTCTCGCCCCTGGGTGAGAAACTAACATGCCCAGCAATGCTCAGATATGTTAGTTTCAACACATAACAGGAAATGCTTCGCGCTGACGGCTGTGGTCAGCAATATTTATTCAATAATTGCGAGATGCTTGGTAATAGCATATTATGTCACGTAGCCCAAGCTCAAAGCAATTTATAACGTTTCTTGTCGAAATCTATGACCTACACCTGTAACATGTCCTAGTGATATTTCTCATTCCTCGCGAACACTTGTTTGCTGTTTATCTTCGGCAAACGGGTCAAGGTCTTTAATAACCAAACCTTGATTGAAGAATAAGAAAACAGCTAACCTAAACTCGACACTAAGCTGAACTTCAGAGCATCTTAAAACAACTACACCTTAAAACAAACTATAACCTTAATGCTAGCCTTGACTTAACACGCGCCCGGGTGGCCGGCTAAATACCCTTCGCTCGGGTGGGGGGGGGGGGGGGTCAATTTGACCCCCTGAGATCACGCGAACTAAGAAAGTTAACAACACCAAATTTACAAAATGTGTTACACTGTGCTTAAACTCACTTAGGTCAAAGTTTTAGGTTCCTAAGTCATGACCTTTGGTCAAAAAAAGTCAAACAAGGTCAAGTTCCAGGTTGGAAGCCAAAGTGCCCCTAGAGCCTAGATAACAGTTTCTAAGCAAGAGGTGACATGCTCATTCAAGGTCAGTGACCTTGTTTGGCCTTGTTTTAGTGTCAAAGTGTCCAAAATTATGCAAGATTGCTTGGAGTTACGCATTTGACTAAGCCACAAAGATTACGCTAGGCAGTATGTTCCTAAAACAAAATGCTGATCTGGGTCATTTTACGTCAATGACCTATTCTGACCTCTAAGAAGTCCAAGGAAGATGTGTAATGCCGTTCCTGCTATCATGCTATCAATAAATTCGAAATGAGCACCACAAATTATACAATGCAGAAAGCCCTAGAGTAGCAAAACAGGTTGGTTTTGACCTTGGTGTGACTTCATACCTGACCTTAGATCAATGTAATTTGCTCATTCAACTGTTGTGTTGCCTAAGAAAGCATCTGAGAGATGTCTGGCTTTGTCTAACACTCCGTTGTTGGATCAGGTTGAAGGATTCCTTATAAACCACCTTCGCTGAAACCATGGCCTGACTTTGACCTGCCATAGGTCAGCGACCTTACAAGGTACATCTAAATTATTGATGCCAAACAATCCGCTATTCAATTGTCTACATCTATGACAAATTTGGCTTTCGAAAACCATTCTGGAAAAGCCTTCGGGAACCCGAGTGCGTGTTAACCCTCAGCACTTAAGACGATTTCTAAATTATAAGGCACAATTTTCTGTATCACTGCGGCGATCCGAAAAATTTGATTCCGTTGTGGTCCACATTATGTATATCTTTGCAAGCTTTCCGTCGTACGATGCGAGTTTTACGATGATTACAATACTGGCTTTTGCCTGTGGGTTTTTCGACTTGCCCTGCTCCTTGCTCACCGCTCCTCTTCGCTACAGCTGTGGAACTTGCTCACAATCACCGCTGTTGGGAGAGCCATCATCACGCAGCCGAAATATGCGCACACGCTGCCGAAAAGCTTGCCGACGGTCGTCATCGGTATGACGTCACCATAGCCGACAGTCGTCATGGTAACGATGGCCCACCACATGGCTTGCTGTAGGGTCTGTATGCCGTAGTTGTCGACAGGCTCCACCCAGAAGACGAGGCAGGCGAAGAACACCAGGGCGGCAACCCACACAGCGCAGAGGACGCCGAGAAACGGAGCCGCCGCCGCCAGGGTGCGCTTGAGGGTCGCACCCGCTGCCGTGTCGCGGACGAACCTGGAGCGCAGGGGTCATAGCTATCATTCGAACATGATGGCAGCGCAAGGGTCATGACTATCATTCTAACATGATGGCAGCGCAAGGGTCATGACTATCATTCGAACATGATGGCAGCGCAAGAGTCATGACTATCATTCTAACATGATGGCAGCGCAAGAGTCATGACTATCATTCTAACATGATGGCAGCGCAAGAGTCATGACTATCATTCTAACATGATGGCAGCGTAAGAGTCATGACTATCATTCTAACATGATGGCAGCGCAAGAGTCATGACTATCATTCTAACATGATGGCAGCGCAAGAGTCATGACTATCATTCTAACATGATGGCAGCGGCCGTCAGCGTACCCTCAACGGGGCCAAATCAATCGGCTGTTTGAAAACGCCTATAATGTACAAATGCGTGGTCATACAAGCACCGCCTGTTCACGTTATCATATTTCCCAGCGAAAATGTGAGGTTGGAAAATGCCTTCATATCAAACTACATCGTTGCTCACCCTAAAGACGACCCTCTCACGATTATCAGACTGACCTACCACACCACTCATGGCACTACCGTTGGGCGGACATGGTCCAATGCACCGAGCCCTGCCCCGACCCCTGACCTTACGCAGACCCAGCGGCTTCTCACCTGAAAACGCGCAGCATGCGGACCAGCCGGCACAGCCTACCAAGCCACGTGACGGCCCCAGTGGGACGTACTGACGTGCCCTCCAGCGCAAGGAAGACGAAGAAAGGCACGGTGATCACCAGGTCCAGTATGTTCATTGGGTCCAGGAAGAAGCGTGCATGGTTTTGGCAGGCGACCAGACGTGCTGCCAGCTCCACGAACAGCAGCGCTACGCAGACAACTTCAATGTAGAGGGCAGCACGGGGCGGCACCGGCTCCTCATCGTCGCCCAGCGTCTGCAGTGCTGGCACATCCGCAACCACAAATGCCAGCACGGCGGCGGCGGTGATGAGCAGCGACGCGGCGACCAGCAGCGGCACGCGGCGGGGCCCCTCCAGCGCAGCCGCCAGGCGGCGACGCCAGCCGACCACCGCCGCGGGCTGCACAGCCTCGTCGCCAGCTACAGGTGGTACGACGCCGTAGAACTGCAGGTCGTCGCGGAAGACTTGCGCGGGCACGCCGTACGGCCGCCGCACGTCGCCGCCACTGCGGAAGGCGTGCAGCACGCCCTCGAAGCTGGCGCCGCTCCGATCAAAGAAGAGCTCGCCGCGCGTCGCGTCGTAGAACCCGGCGCGCCACTGGTCGTCGCCGAGCCGCGAGCGCGGCAGGCGGCGCAGTGTAGCAGCACGCGTCTCGAACCGCCGCCCGCCGACGTTGATGACCAGACGGTCGTCCGTGTCGGCCCCGAGCTTGGTCAGTTCCATGTCGGCTGTCTCAGGCAGCGCTGGTGGCCGCCGCGTGTTGCTGCGGCAAGACGCTGAAGCATGTGCGCGTCAGCCATTTAGTAGGCTTCGGAGACGCACATACCACTGAGTGCATCAGAAAGGCTTACACATGGAGACATTTTTGAAGATATACATCACGTACACGAATACAGTTGCCGTAGGCATGCAGATGCATTTGACGTGAGCGTGTTCGGTGTTTTGCTGCTGTCACATGTAACAATTTTTTTCGCAAGCAAGGCTGCAAGTCAAGTAAGTTTTGAGCTTTGTGCCAGTCATCTTCTTAAGTAAGTTTTGAGCTTTGTGCCAGTCATCTACTTAAGCGGCCTGGTGTGCCCTGGCCCGGTCCGGCCGGCGTGACTGACACGTGCAAATCCGTTGCAATCAATGACTACAAGTTCATGCAATTTTTATCAAAAATAATTTTGTTCTCACACAGTTGCGCCGCAAAACTTGTGTATTTCTGTGCAAGCTGTCTGAACCAGCGAGACAAGCTGTGCAACCTCCTCCCTTAACGTTGCAAAATGACAAAGATTTTTCCTTCCCCGTTGGTCCATTGGATTTGCAAGGAAAGGATAAAAGTAAAAAAAGTTTCTAACTGCACACAAGCCAAAAGTTCGGATCGAACCCGGATACAATTTTGAACGGTCCAGCATCGCGGCGACAGGGCGTCCAAATTCTAGCGGAGGATAACACAGATAATGGCTTAGACAAACGCGTGAGTAGTGGTGTGCAAATGCCACGCCGTCGTACGCAAACGATTGATGCACCCGTTTTGTTATTGTTTTTTTTATCATAAATGTAAAACCACGGCAACCAGAGAAAATGACGTCACGCCAGGTCTACGGTGTAGGCAATTGTACGGGCTACAAAATGCTAACGGATTTCAAAGCCGTTCGACCGTAGGCTCGCCACCAATCGATCGGTAATCGCCCAGTGGCAGCATTTTCTTAAATCGATCTCGAATCGACCTTGAATCGATGTTGAATTGACCTTAAATCGAATCTCGAACGATTTTAAATCGATCTTGAAGATGAGACGCTGTAGTCTTAAGTAGAAAGACTGGCCCACGACTACTACATGGCCATGACAAATATACGGAAGGCCTGTTTATTGAAAAACATATCGACCCAAAATATTGCCATTTTTGGCAATATTTCTTTTTACGTTGTCACAAAACAGTACTTTTTGACGCTTTTACAATCCGCAGATCACCAAGGATCCATCAACTTGTTTTTAGATATGCTTGATAAAAACTGCACTGTCTGACGAAACCCGCAGCCAGCCATTGTCCAGCAAATTATTTTTGAATCGGTTCATGCGTGCCGCATCAGAGGACATTCGCATGCTATGTTTCAAAGACAGGTAGACTTAGACAACACATGGATGAAAGTTGTTTGCATTGCATTGGTTGCTGAATGCATCACGCTGTGCTTGTTTATATTTTTGTATGGCCAACACAGCAGCTGACAGCTTTATTATACGTAATCGCTTCGCTCGCCCGACGCCAAGCATAGCGTACTACTGGAAGCAGGTAGACCTGAAGCTAAATTGTTTGGCGCCTGCAGGCCACAAGTACGTTTGATGTTGTATGTCTTCGCCCTGATCCGCGGTTTTTTCATAATACTGACTAATCGGGGGGGGGGGGGGGGGGTCGGTGAAATTCCCCTGCGTTTCCGAACCAATGAAGATCAAGTTTAGCGCAAAACACCAGTGTCTTGGTTTTAAAACAATATCGCGATTGACACTTATTTTTGGTTAAGTCAATCACTGGCTCCATTATGCGAGGTCGAAGGTCAAGTACAAGTACATCATGCATACAAGACCATTCTTCGTGGTGACATGAAATCTACACGGATGTACTACATGTTCAGTTATGAGTACAATAACGCACATTTTATGTATTTTTGGCATTAATTATGATGTACGGCTCCATTAATGAAACCATGTCGGCCCACCGCGAGCGTTCCGCGGGATGGTCAGTTTCCGCCCGCCGCTCGCGCCGGCCATATTTGAGTGTCCCCTAAAAAAACCACCGCTGCTCCGAATCAGAAAAGCTTGGAACACGTTTTCGGTGTCAAACACGTGCTATGGATGACCCGTACGCTACTAAGAAGTTTGGCACGATTACACAACACGCCAGAGAGGTATAAAAACCTCAGAGGGGGGAGGGGGTCGATCGACCTCCCACATGAGGCCGACGTTTAACACAAACATGCTTTTACAGGAACATCGGGATTGCATTGTCCTGTTTCGACAAGCAATAAGATGGAAACGGGTTTGGTCAGTCTATCTGCTCGCACTGGGATATTGTTAATCCAGGAGTCGGCGAAACTGTCACCACCTGTGAAACTCGAGGCACTACTTACCGCTCGACCACGGTTGCTGAAGGCTCGCGACGCTACCCCAGCGCTGACACCGCACTGACCTTTGCTTCAAGCACCCTTCGAAGTCAAGCAGCCTGGTGCTTTCGCAGGCCGCCGACTCGATTTTACTGGGCAGTGTCTATATCAAGTTGCGTAAACTGACTGATACCGGCGGTTATGGACAGACTGAGCGGAGAAGCCGACTGCGGCCTGGTCCGGAGGAAACTGATAAATTAATCTCAAGGTCGGACTCCATGCACTTGGACCAACGAACGGTGGTGGTGCAGCAATTGCTTATTTAGTAAATGAAATTGGACAGAGGCGCAGCCAGGGCCTTTGCAGGGAAAGGGCGGGGCACAGGGTTGACAAATTCTCCGAATGGTGGGTCCCCCAGAAGAAGTCACCAGGCATGGCCCACTTGTTAACACGCGCTCGGGCGGGGGTCAAGTTGAACCCCCGAAGTTTTTTTCCAAAATGGTCTCCGAGCGGCGAGGCGTAGCCGCGCTAAGTTTTGTATATCAGTAGACAATTGAACAGCAGATTGTCTGGCATCAAAAATTTAGATGTAACTTGTAAGGTCACTGACCTATGGCAGGTGAAATTCAGGCTATGGTTTCAGCGAAAGCAATTTCTAGGCAATCATCCAATCTGATCCAACAACGGAGCGTTGGACAAAACCATACATCTCTGAGGTACTTTCTTAGACAACACAGTAATTGAATGACAAATAACATTGACCTAAGGTCCGTTATGAAGGCCATACCAAGGTAAAAATGAACCTATTTTAATGCTCTATGGCTTGCTGTATGGAGTAGTCTCTGGTGCTCACTTCGAATCTATTGATAACAGGAACCGCATTATACACCTTTTATAGACTTCTTATAGGTCAGTATCTGTCACTGACATAGAATAAGCCAGGTCAACATTTTGTTTTTGGGAACATACTGCCTAGCGTAGCCTTTGTCGCTTATCCAAATGCAAAACTCAGAGAGGTCTTGTATCATTTTGGTCAACATGAACTTCAAAAGTTCAAACGAGGTCACTGACCTTAGATGAGCATGTGCCGTTTTGCTTGCAACAGTTATCCAGGTTCCTGCGGTCCTTTGGAGACCAGCCTGGAGTTTGATCACGTTTGACCTTATTTGACCCGAAGATCATGAACTAGGAGCCTCAAACCTTGACCTAGGTGAGTTCACGTACAGATCAAGGCACCCTGTGAATGTTGTGTCTCTAGCCCTCTTAGTACCTGAGATCTCAGGGGCGTCAAATTTACCACCGCCCGACCCAAATGTATCCAACTGGCCACCCGTGCGCGTGTTAATGATGAAGACGGTTTCCTTATTTCCTTATTTTCTACCTTCCATGGCTGGTACAGAACCCAGACAAGCCAGACAAGCCAGACAAATACGCGAGACCAATGCTGTTTTAATTTGATGTCAATAAACTGAATGATGAAATGATGAAATAAACTGAATTGATGAAATAAGCTTTACAACGGGTTAGTGACTTTCTAAACCGACAGAACTAAGAAGTGTTGCCAGAATTTAATTGGGCTCTACAAAGATACGTATTGAGGACCCGGTGACTAGATTGTGGATCGAAATTGGTAAAAAATGATATTAGCGTGACCAGCCCATGCTTGCAGTGGAACATTTTGTCAGAATTGATAAGCAATAAACAATATGTTACATTGTTTTGAGCATGTGCGCTCGCAAATCTTAGACGGAAACCAAAACCTCGATGTCCGGCGTTGCAGTCTCCATAGACAACGCGACTACACTAAGCGTTGACCAACAGGCAGGCACAAATCTGGTAGCGGAGTTGCAAGCGTACAGGTAGAATATCTACCGTCGTGTTGCTGTATCAATCCTAAATGTCGCGCATCTATAATTTCTATATTTCTGGTTGCTGATACCAGACACGCACCCTGACTTTCGCAGAGCCCTCTGAATAATATTTCAGGCCACGGCCTTTCGGACCGGGATCCTTGATGTGACCTACCGCCAAACCTCTGGCCCTTATGCCATCAAATCGAGCCCCTGATCTTCGGCTTCGGTGGCCCTCTTAACCCTCATCGGCCTCATTGAACACCGCCTTTGGTCAACTCAGGGCCCCTTGTCAACATAGGACCGCCTGTCAGGCACTACGGGCCCATGACAGATACAGAGACAAT